ATATATTTAGCCATTGATTTAGGTTTATTATTCATTTATCTATAATATTTGATTCTCCTCTTCGAGCCGTTAGAAAACAAGCTGCAAACGCTCTCCCTACCTCCCCACCCCTACATGGTTTTAGTGAGCTGTGTTCACTCTAAATGTTTACAAGCAGAGCAAACGATTTTAAACGTAGGGGGGGGGGGAGGGGGGGGGGGGGGTTATGGTCCTTAACGAGCTACTTATAGTGTTTTAAAGAAATATTTTCAGTGTCAGCGTTGGTACTGTCGAATTCACAAATTATGAATTATTGAAAATTAGAAACAACTAAATAGCGGCGTATGTTATGCCGCGGGCCGGCTCGTCTATAATATTTGACACAAACATATCACAATACACTTCTATTACAGCCTTGACAATGACGTAACGTTTTCGTACATTAATAGCCGCGGGCGATTTTACGTACCCAAAACGATAGATTACCCTCTACTGCACTCGCTAGGCTAGGACAGGGGTAATTTTTTTAGTTCTGCTATAACTGCTAGATTTCTAAGTCTGCCTGCAGGCATCGTTATCTGGTAATCTATAGGTACGTAAAATCGCCCGCGACTAGTAATGTGAAAAACTAAAACAGGTGACTCCTTAAATTTTAATAATTATTTTAGGTAAAACTCCATTTTAGCGTATTTTATCCTCCGTTGCTTGTTTACCTCCAGTTGAGTGTATTTTATTATAACAACCGAAACACACCAAAACATTAGGAAAACACGATTTATTTTTTGTATTGTATTTTTGTTTTAGCAAATGAATAAAAATGAATATTTAAGAAACACGACTTGTTTAATTTCTGACTTAAAAAAAAAATTGATGTGGGGTCGTCCATAAATGACGTCACACTCGTAAGGGAGAGGGGGTCCGCAATTTCGTGACGGTGTGTGATGAGGGGGAGGGGGTGGGGTTTCAGATGGTGTGACGTCACTTTTTTGCATTATAAAAAAGCAATTTTAGAAAAACGAGTTTTAGCAGTTATTTCGCGTTTTAGAAAACAGTTTTAATAAATTGTAATATGAATTGATCACAATACTCTATGTTGACAGAGTTCTGACAAGATATTGGAAAAATTATCGATGTTTTAAGAAAAATTCAACAGAAATTTTGAGGGAAGGGGGGGGGGTTGTAGGCTGAGGTGTGACGTCATTTTAGGGGGGGTCTGACTTTTTGTGACGACGTGTAACGGCGGGGAGGGGGGGGGGAGGTAAAAATCGTAAAAAAAAGCGTGTCGTCACAAAAAGCAAGACACCCCCCCCCCCCCCCCCAAAAAAAATGACGTAGCACCATCTGAACCCCTCCCCTCATAACACACCGTCACAACATTACGGACCCCCTCTCCCCCTACGAGTGTGACGTCATTTATGGACGACCTCTAACATTATTTTTTTTTTAAATGACAACCTGAGTTGTCACACTTTCTCTAACACCTCAAGCCATCCCTCACCAAATTCCACCCCCCCCCCCACCCCCCCGGCCCACTTTCGGCAGCATTATTGTGCCTTTTAATACTTTTATTCAGTTTAGTTGAAATTGGAACACTTAATTGTACAAAGTGTGCATCTCTATTTTTGTAACCAACAAACAAAGCACTTCAGTCAGTCCCTTTGTTGTTTTTTATTTATTTGTTAAAACAAAAATACAATACAAATAAATAAGTCGTGTTTTTTAAACATTCATTTTATTCATTTGTGAAAACAAAAATACAATACAAATAAATAAATCGTGTTTTCCTAATGTTTTGGTGTGTTTCGGTTGTTATAATAAAATACGCTCAACTGGAGGTAAACAAGCAACGGAGAATAAAATACGCTAAAATGGAGTTTTACCTTATTTTATTTAATTTAGCCATTGATTTTGGTTTAGGCCTATTATTCGGTTATCTATAATATTTGACACAAATATTTCACAATATAGGCCTACTTCTATTAAATTAAAGCCTTGACAATGAGGTAACTTTTTCGTACATTACAAGTCGCGGCTGATTTTACGTAGGCCCTACCGAAAGCGATAGATTACCCGTTGTCTTAATTGAGACGCATGTTTTTTCTTGCCTAGACATAGACGATCATAATCACATAGACATCTAGATCTAGATTAGAATCTAGACTTCTAACAGAACTAGATCTAGATCTAACTCAACTTATCAAGCACCAGATCTAGATCAAGGCTTATTTCGTTTTTTATCTAGATCTAGATTCTCCAGATCTAAAATCTAGCGATCTAGAAATTAATCTTTAGCTTGAAAAAATACTTAGTTACTTAGGCTAATACTGTGTTTAGATCTATAGTTAGACAAAAGGTAATAGGCCCTAAATATAAATTGACCACTCAGGTGTGATTATAGATCTAGGCCTATTTACTATTTATAATTTTGGGAATAAAAATAATTTTGTGTTGGGTATTATAATCTTTCCCTACTAACTCCTGCACCACTTGTAGATTATAGATCTATATGTCTAGATATACTAGCTCTTGAACTACTAATCAATTTTTTCTAGGGATACTGTTGAATTTCCAGAATAATGTAAGTCTCACCATTGTAAATAGTAAATACGTCTATCCAACCTGTTACATAAACATTTTTTATTTGTGACCATTGTATAAACAAAGAAAAATGGTGGAATAAAAATCAAGTTTCAATTTAAGAAAATTATGTTGACTTTTTACTTTCTCGTATATACGTAGTATAGAGAAAGTATTGTAATCGTGCAAAAAAAAAAAAATCGAGATTTTTACAAATCTCGACGTTTTACACCTCACTGATACGGAAAAACATAATTTTGCAATCTTGTCCGTATGTCTGTGTGTGTGTGTGTCTGTCTGTCTGTCTGTCTGTCCGTGTATAAACACGATAACTTGAGTACCGTTACAGCTAGGTTGATGAAATTTCATATATAAGTATTTTATCAAAATCGTAGATCCGTATCAACTTTTGAGCGATTTCCGATAACCGGAAGTGGTACTTTTCCTACTTTGAATTTTTCAAAAGCCTATAACTTAAGTACTATTTCAGATAGATAAATGAAATTTCACATGTAAGTAAAAGATCTAATTCTCTACCTTCTGTTAAATTTTGAGTAATTTCCGTTGACTGGAAGTAGTAATTTACGCTACTTCCGATTTCTCAAAAAACTAATGTAAATTTTTAAAGTACTAATAATATTGCGCACTATTATACGCGTTTTTATTCGGCGTTTGCTTGGTGCGCAATGTTTTTTTTATGAGATTCTATTCTATTTTTAAAAGTTTATGTATTTAAAATGGATTAAAAATCATAACTATATCCCCAGTTACCATCCCCTGTTGTTTTATATAAGAATATTCGAGAAAGTTTAGGGGAGATCACTACCGGTTTATGTTCTACGTGTGTTTGTGAAGTTTCTGATTCAACAACGAATCGCAGTCAAGGCTTTTTATAGAGAAAGTCTTGTAATCGTGCAAAAAAAAAATCGAGATTTTTACAAATCTCGACGTTTTACATCTCACTGATACGGAAAAACATAATTTTGCAATCTTGTCCGTATGTCTGTGTGTGTGTGTGTGTGTAAACACGATAACTTGAGTACCGTTACAGCTAGGTTGATGAAATTTCATATATAAGTATTTTATCAAAATCGTAGATCCGTATCAACTTTTGAGCGATTCCCGATAACCGGAAGTGGCACTTTTTCTACTTTGAATTTTTCAAAAGCATATAACTTGAGTACTATTTCAGATAGATAAATGAAATTTCACATGTAAGTAAAAAATCTAATTCTCTTCGTTCTGTCAAATTTTGAGTAATTTCCGTTGACGGGAAGTACTAATTTACGCTATTTCCGATTTCTCAAAAACGCATCTAAATTTATAAAGTACTAATAATATTGCGCACCATTATGAACATCTTTATTCGGCGTTCGCTTGGTGTGCAATACTTTTTTCTATGAGATTCTATTTTATTTTAAAAAGTTTAAGTATTTAAAATGGATTAAAAATCATAACTATATCCCGAGTTCCCATCCCCTGTTGTTTTATATAAGAATATTCGAGAAAGTTTAGGGGAGATCACTCCCGGTTTATTGTATAACGTGATACATTGTAATATAAGACCTAACTGTCAATCTTGTATGTATAAAGGCAAGCCATTATTGTTAATTATTGTCATTTGCTGCGTAGGAATGGTTTCAAATAATTTCATAATTTTTAACTTTTTTTTTACAAAAGTTTTACAATATAATCTTTGTTATGCCATCAACTATAGACTAGTTATTTTTAAAAGCATCTGATGTTGGTATACAATGGAGTTTTTGTGCAAGTAGGCAACAGTGCCCAACAACCAAGCTATTTCTCAGTCAGGCATTAGTGCTCTCCTGAATCAAAGTTTTTTTTTTAATAGATTGTACACTGTATTAAACTGAGTTTGTAAAATCAGTGGTTGATATGTGTGGTTCCTCTCACTGCTATTTATTATTGCTGTTGTTAATTTTTAAATTTCATTGTTTTGTATATTATTTTTTTACAAAAAGTAGTAAAGTGGTATTGATTTATGGACAGTGTATTCTTAATTTGTATATCTTATTATGAATTATGGTTTGAACAGCTCGGTAATATTTCCTAAAGCATTGTCTTGCTAATTTGCTAAGTATATTTAGTTCAGGTAGGCCTAATTACTGAAAGATTACTGAAAGATTACAGAGAAACAAATCTTTATTTCTTTCAAATGATGCTCCTTCAATAATGCAACTAAGGAAGTATATTTCATGATAAATAGGCTAAATGTTGCTTCTGTTTCTGCACATTGTTTTAGCTGCCTGTTTTATGCTAACCGAATTATTTCATATGTAGATGAGATGTTGGTTATTGGTTTCTTATCCATATAGTTTATCATATTCTATAAATTCCCAGAAGTAACTAAAATTTTACATTTACTAAGGAACCATTATATATACATATTTAGGGAATTATTATATATACACATTTAGAAAGAAAATACAGAAGAAGATATGATTAGTGAAGCTCAAAGTCCTGTGGTTAAGAAACGATCTTCCTTGACTACTAAATCTGCCTATTCCAGAAGATTACGAACTAGCCTCTGTTCCACTTCCTCTAACCAACAAAATCCCAAGGTAACCCAAGAAATAAAAATGATTCAGTATTCTAGATTTTAAAGCTATAAATGATCTCAAGCTAGATTAACTAGTAATTATAGATGCAGCATTAGAAAGTTTAAAATACAGTGGGGCCTTGATTCGTAACTCACTCCATCCCAGGTGACATTTGGAGACCTGCCATATTTTTCTCCCATTGTCATGTTTTAAACTTATTCCTGTGCTAAAACATAAGTTTCAAATTCAATGAGGCCTAAAATATTTTGGCAACAGACCTGATAATGTAAATTAGTAAATTAACTTTTTTCATTTATTTTTTTCGGGGGGGGGGGGGGGGGGGGTATAGTCTTTAATTAATTTTAAGAATATTTCTCAGAATTTATTTCTTGGATTAGACCATGCTCTTGTAGTATTGCAAGGCTTACAAAAATTAAAAAGTCCTCTGTGCCATTAAAAAATCTGTATCTCAACCTTTTTTAAAATTTTCATTCGCCACATAATAGATGAATGAGTAGATTTGTTTTGGCAAATTATCATTCTTACCTAATGACCCCTCTGTATTTGAAATATTGTAGAATCAAAAATATAAATCTGCATGATCTTAGGAATAATTATATATGCACATTTAGATAGGTGCAGAAGAAGTAGGTGGTGCTCAGATTTCTAAGAAAAGAGCTTCATTGAGTGCTAAATCTTCCCATTCTTGGAGATCACGATTAACTTTCCGTTCCACTACCTCTAAACAAAGTGTAAAGGTAATCTACCTACTTAAGGAATAAAATGATTTGGTAGTCTAGATGGTTTTTCTTCATCCCAGTGTTAGTTATTGAGAGCTGTTAAAACATTAATAATGACCTGTGGTATGGTGTAGATTGAGGTTAATTAAATAGTTCAAAATGAGCAATACGATTTTAAATTTAACCTCAATTTAAAATTAATTGTGAATGGTTTTTTAAATTCCAAATTTAGCAATATTTAATGAAATTCAAGTTCTCAAACTTGTTTGACTTTGTAACTGACAGTAAATTTAATGTCTTAAGTGGTTTAATTCTGAGGTGTAATTTATGTTCAGTGCTATTTGGGCTCAAACACATGATATAAACAATGTTAACTTACTCAAATTCTGTTTGTTTGTTGAAGTGTGTTATTTCTTGGCATGCCTTGTGGTTAAAAGACATGATCGAACTGTCATAGAAACAAACCTAGTAAAGATCAGGAAATTGTATTTGTTTTATATTTCCTAAAAATAACATTTGACCATCTTAGCAAGCTTACTTTAGCTTGTGATACATTGCTATATATTACATATATTAGAAGTTGTGCCAATAAAAAATACTGGCAAGAAATGTGTGTATTTTGTTTTAAGAAAGGCTCATGTTAAATGTGTTCAAGTAATTACGCTGTTGTGAGATAGCAGTGACATTGTACTTAGGTATCACTTTATATGCCAATTTAGAAATTTCCAGACGAAAGTGCTGCTCTGAGCCAGAAAAGTTCTGTGTTGACCAATAAATCCTCTCTCTCTTGCTGGAGTTCAGAAGTTTCTGAAAGATCTGCTTCATCTAGAGCAAAGAATAAGGTAACCACCTTGTGGAGAAACAGTTGGTTTTGTAAAGAACAAATAAAGATGCATTCATTTGCAAATAATCAACATATAGATACTCATGACTTGAAAAAGTTCATTTTTGAAAAAATTCTTGGTACACTCAAACTGTTGTTTTATACATTTTGTTATTTTAATATACTGGCTGCTTACTTGCTTATGTAGATGTTCACTTTATGAGCGATTTTGTACTATACCACTTGTGGTGATTTACAAAGAAAGAGTTCAAGCATTATTGCTTGAATTACCATGCTTTCAAAAGCATAATTTGCTGTAACTGAATTGTTTTTTTGTTACATCATGAATTTGTAACTTTATAACCTTTTCTGATATTATATTTTTATTTTTTTTTATTCTTGTTGTGTAACACATATATTAAGTTAAGCCGTTTTTTTATTTTCTTAATTTACTTCTACTTTAGTTCTGAAAAAAAATATGTTAACTCTTTTATTTGGATTACCTACTTGTATTCTTTTTTTGTTTTCAATTTAATGCATTATCTTGTATATATACTGCATATTTTTCAACAAAGTTCTGAAAGAATGTATTTTTCCAGGCACTGGATCTTTACTTTCAAATTCACGTTTCATGTCAAAGCTTTGTTTTGATTTTTTACATGCTGTGCTGTTAATAAGATTTTACTATTTATGGTTACTGATTCTTAAACAGTCAAAAATGTAGCTAAATTGTTAAAGGTATTGTATCTACATAAATAAGTGTCCAGTATTATGGTAGCCCAAAGTTCTAGCTTAGAATTAATAGAATGATGAAATGAGGTTATAAAACAAAATCACATGTTTACAATGTCTAAAAGCATGAAAACATCCGGGGTGCTTATTAATTTTTTAGCTAGTTTGTTGACTAAAACTTAATTAACCTCATCTACATACCTAGCAGTTATTTTGCTGGATTTCTCTTAATGCAAATATTTTTAAGTTTGTCTACATTCCTTTTCCTGAGAAAACCTGAAGAATGCATACCATTGTTTTAAAGGAACCTAACCATAAAAGCGTACATGCTTGGCGCCCTCTTACTTAGTACTGAAGTATTGGCGTCAATCTGGTGCCTTCTTTTCCAGCATGTCTCATATTTGAATTGAATGTTATCTTTCAATAATAACTTATATTTTTAAAAGGTACTTCATTTTGTTCACCTCAAAATAAGACATTTTAGTAATAGTTTTTAAACCTTCAGCACTTCATTTTAAACATTGAAATAAGTTCCCAGGTTTAGTTGAAGTATATATTGATGTAGCCTGATTTCTATTTTTCACAATGACTGAAAACAATGTTGGCCTTTCTACATAGGCAGTCTTCTAGTTATTTTCAAATTGCGTGTTGGGTTTCTGTTTGGCTCTTAGGGTTATTTATTTTAACACCACCACCTTACCACGCACAAAATAAAATCCACCTTTGTTGAGGTTTTTTTTTTAAATTTTTAACATAAGTGTAAACCCCTTTTTTTACAGGCTGAGTTTGACCAGTTGATAGCCACTGAAAAAAATTTGATTGTCGTTGATTTCTTTGCAACATGGTGTGGCCCTTGTAAAGCAATAGCTCCTCACCTGGCTGTAAGTATCTATTTCTTTAACTACATTTTTCTTCAATATGTGTTCATGCTGTTAAAGTTAATGGAAAGAGGGACATGTGGTTGGGAGGTAGAGTGCACGACTGCTTGCTGTCTCGAGTCATTAAGACATTCCTGAGTATACCCACCTCAGATAGGTTTTAACTTGGCTAGGGAAAGTAAATGCAGCTGGACGTAGAACTGGCCACATAATCTTATTATTTGTCACAGAAACGGGTGAACTTAACTTCATCTGACCTAAGGGCTACCAGGTCCTAAAGGGTAACTTAAGTGAATGAGTGTTCTTGTATTAAGAATAGTACTCTTTTATTTATAGGAAAGTGATATCAAACAGTTTTGAAAACTTATTTATTATGACTTTTTTTTCCAGAAATGGGCGGAAGAGTATGATGATGTTACTTTTATCAAAATTGATGTAGATGAGAATGAGGTAAGTTTAATATCCAATGTATACATGTGGTGAGGATTTCTTTTAATATTCCAATAGTTTCATATGATATTGGGAAGACTTTTTTTTTAAGTTCTTATTAGCTTGTTAATAAAAATTGTAGATGTTCCAGTTTGACTTCATGCTAGGCTGTTTTACTGTTTTTCAGGATACAGCAGAAGCTTGTGGAATCTCAGCAATGCCTACTTTTCACTTTTATAAAAATGGCAAAAAGGTTAGTATGTAGTGCATTCTTTTTTTTTAATACTAAGGGGGGTGAAAGTTTTTGTTTTTCTTTGTTCAAAATATTTTAGGCTTGTTAATTGCTGACTCCCTGTTTCATGCTTTATATATATATATATATATATATATATATATATATATATATATATATATATATATATATATATATATATATATATTGTACAGTAAGGTATAGATGTGATGAATTCTGCATTAAAACATCTTTAGCATTTATGAAAATATATTACATTTATTCAAACATTAAAAGAAGTTTATAATTTTTTTTTAAAGAACCATTTAACATCTACATAACTCACACAAAGAGGTCTGTTATGCTTATGCAGAAGTAATAAAAGTTACATCTTGAAGATGCTGGTGAATTGGTGTCACTGTTTATCTTTGTCATTAGAATAATGTACAACTGCTAAAATTAGTCTAGCATCCCTATAAGAAAATTCACCTATAGTGGGTGGGCTTACCGCAATAAGTATTGGAACATATTTCCCATTACTGTATTTTTTATTACCTTGTTGAATTCATTTTCCTGTTTTGAGTCCAATCTACTTTACTCTTCTTCAGGTTGATGAAATAGTTGGTGCCAACCATGAAAAGATTAAAGAAAAAATTCTTGCATTGAAGTAGTCTAGGGTGTAGTTTTGTGATAATTTAGAATGCCTTTCTGACACTTGTAAACTGTCCTGTATATTTTGTCTTAGTCAATGATGCCCAGAGTAGCCAATTTTATTCTCCCAAAGAAGTCTGTTCTAAATAACTGAAATATTTGGATTAACGGGTATGTGTATACACCTTGTACCCTTTTTTTCGCTTTTAATTCATACATTTGCTCTTGTAAGTAGTATCCTTAAAGTGGATTAAACAGGACTAACAGTATTGTTAATAACTTAATTTACTATTTATATATTTTTAAAAAAAATTTTTATGTGAAATTAGTTTTTGGGCTCATGGTAAAGTAAAAGTAAAATTGAATTATTAATGTGAGGGCAAAGGTATTACATATATGAAATGTAGTTTAATAAATTAATATATCGCATGAATTTCAAGCTATAGATGATAAGGTCTGTAAGTTACTGGTGTATGTGTGTTTGATTTTTTTGTTACGCATTTATCTAAATTATATATACAGTACCACATACATAATTGTCTAAAGGTTTTTCTTTTTTTTAAATATTTCTTAAAATGAAAGTAAATGTCAGTTTTTTCCCCCAATGGTATACATTTTTATTGCCAGTATACATTACTGACTTCATTGTGATGTTTGCTCAAGTTTTGCAAATTATTCTAAATAATAAAGCAAAAGTAATTCTATGTAACATTTGGGTAATATATAGTTGGCTATTTTAAAACTGGAATGGATTATTCGATGTGTAGATGATATTGATAACAGCTGATTCTTAACAAAAGTGTGTAGTGATTTTATTCATCTTGTTTTTTTTTTTGTTCTGTTTAATTATTAATGACAAAAATTAAAAATAAAGATTCTTTTCTAAGGAAACTAAAATTGTGCTTTTGTTAAATTGTTGGAATAAACTTTTTTTTTAGTGATCATTCTTGCATATAAATTTTAATTAGCAGGCAGTAAAGCAGTGTGCATACTAGTTAAGATTTAGATCCACTAATTTAGAATCATGCACAAGTATAATATACCACACAAATTATTTTCATTTAACAGAATAATGAACAAATTTTGAACACATTAAATATCTGCCCCTTGTGTTAATTTACAGAAAATAATTTATAGTTATAATTATTATTAACTAAACATGCAATTGTTGCATGGCTTTTAGATTAAATAATAGAAGGTTATGTTTCAATTTGGTATTTTTAAAAATGTTAATAAAACTAGCTGTATTATATAGGCCTATAAATAACATAGCTTTCTCCCTCCCCGCAATCTTCACTTTTCACCTTAACTATCGAATTTTATGGAAGTGTTTTTTTTTTACTCTTGAGTTTTATCAATTGTTCATTGTTTGGGTGAATATTTTTAAAATTAGTCACTGATTCATCTATGGAGGTCAAGGTTTTATCTCAAGTTAACGATATTACAAATACTTTGCTTATTTATAATTTCTATACTATAAATTTTAAAAAAATAAGCCTATATGAAAATGCTAATGTTATTCTGCCCTCAATATTTGTAAAAATAAAATTCTATAACTAAGGGTGGATCTCGAGATAAGGAACACGTAGGCTAAAATACCCACACCACCACAAAACATAAATATCTATTTATTATAGGGCTGGTAAGTAGGTCAATAAAGTTCTATGGCTCATGCAGGTTTTATTGAGCCGTAGAACCTACTTACCAACCCTGCACAGGCCTATATTACTAGTTCCCGCCCCGAATAAACTCGAATGCTAGATCCGCTGATGGATTTATTTATTAAACTAATTGGATGGGATTAGAAAATACAGGTGTAAGCAATAGAAAAGTTTTTCAGGTTTAATTTTTTAAAAGCTGAAAAGAAACGAGAGACTTAAAAAAACCAAGCTAGTTTGAGCTGCTTACAAAGTTTGATGCCGTGTATTTTTACCTGTGACCTACTTTGTGTGAACACAACATAAGGAATCGATTAAATCAATCCAGATTTGCACTGAGTGTCGATAGCCGACCGCCATTGCTGTGTGGACGCTTCTCGTTGCTATGACTACCACCACTGTTGCCCGCGATTCTTGATGTATGGTCCTGTAGCTGATGAACACCAAACAACGGCGTTACATTATCTGCTAAAATACTCCAACAAACACGGGAATCTAGTCGTAAAGTTAAACGTCAACTGTGTAAATAGTTTAATGATGTAACGGTAACATATAACATTAATCCTTTAATGGGATTGTTTAATTACATTAAATCATTTAAATTGAGCGAATCGTAATGAATTTTTATTACTCTCTGATAAGATCAAATACATTCTTTCTAAAAGTAAAAAGTTTACACAAAAAAATGTTTAGCTCTAATCAAACTTAAATTATTAGCGAAGTATTATGCCATTTGCTGAATATTTTTTTCCAACACTAAAATTAAGAACGCGGAAGAAGAAGGATCTTGTTAAGACAAAAAACGCCAAAAAGTTCCCCTCCCCACCCCCCAACCACTACCACCACACAAAAAGAGGATATGAAACTTGTACTTTAAGATTTTATAGAAGAGGGTGAATTTGGGACATTTCATTATTTAGGTCTGTGTTTTGTTACCTTTAACCCTAACCTCCATCCTAACCCTAATAATTATTCATAATTGTTAATGTTGACAAAAAGGCGCCCCCAGTTACTGTCCCGTTACAATTTTTATTTGTCACGCAACTGCTGTAGAAAACAGTTAAATCAGTCCGTTAAGGCAAGTAGCAGTCTATTTTCCCTACTTCGACCGTATGTAATGCAGCTCGGAATGAGCTTTTTACTTGTATTACTAGTTTGGCGCCCCTAGAGTCGGCGCCCGGGGCGGTCGTCATATCGCTCACGGAAGTGGTTAAGTCAAGATAAAACTAACATTCCATTAAATTCCCTTCTACGCACAAGTGAATAGGTTTTGTTACGCCCCCCCCCCCCCCCACACACACACACACACGCTACGCGCCCTTCACCCAGAATACAACGCCATCTTTTCTGATCAAAAGCTGTAGGATTCCGCGAATGAGGATACTCCCGATTAGGACTAGGACGTTTTCTAAAACTTTTAAGTCGCTTGTTCAGACCAGTTTAGTGTCTAGAATACGAATCGACAAGAATCATAGCGCCTTGACTAGAATGCTATTTTTAGGCCGACTAACAATAGCGGGTTTCTTTTTACTTTCTCGTATATACGAAGTATAGAGAAAGTCTTGTAATCGTGCAAAAAAAAAAATCGAGATTTTTACAAATCTCGACGTTTTACACCTCACTGATACGGAAAAACATAATTTTGCAATATTGTCCGTATGTCTGTCTGTCTGTCTGTCCGTGTGTAAACACGATAACTTGAGTACCGTTACAGCTAGGTTGATGAAATTTCATATATAAGTATTTTATCAAAATCGTAGATCCGTATCAACTTTTGAGCGATTTCCGATAACAGGAAGTGGTACTTTTCCTACTTTGAATTTTTCAAAAGCCTATAACTTGAATACTATTTCAGATAGATAAATGAAATTTCACATGTAAGTGAAAGATCTAATTCTCTACCTTCTGTCAAATTTTGAGTAATTTCCGTTGACTTCCGATTTCTCAAAAAACAAATGTAAATTTTTAAAGTACTAATACTAATAATATTGCGCACTATTATGCACTTTTTTATTTGGCGTTTACTTGGTGTGCAATTAATTTGTCTACGAGATTTTATTCTATTTTTAAAACTTAAAGTATTTAAAATGGATTAAAAATCATGTCTATAGCCCGAGTTCACATCCCCTGTTATTTTATATAAGAATATTCGAGAAAGTTTAGGGGAGATCACTCCCGGTTTATTTATTTATTTATTTTTTTGACTTGACATTCCATATCTACCATACAGTGTTTCTTCAGACATTTTTTCCCCGGGGGAGGGGGGGGTGACACTGGTAAAAGTTTCTATAATCTGTGTGAATTCTATTTCGTTCGAAGAGATGCCTGAAAGAAACTCTGTGCTCGGCCATGGTTGGGCTGTTTTATTCGACTATTGTGAGTACATTTTTGTGTATGTGGACCATCACGTGACTTTGAGTGGCAAACTTAAGCTTTTTTCTGTGTATATTATTACAATGAACACAATAAACAATTGTTCAACAACACAAGTAATATATATATACTAGGCATGCTGCCCAGCTTTGCTTAGGCTTTCGAAAACATTGAGAATTTGAATGCTTAATTAATTCGCCCGAGGGTCGGTCTACGACCTCAGGAGTTATGAAGAGGTTCCTCCGTGGACATTTTTTTTCGATTTATAGCTCATATAAGGCGCCGGTCAGTCGAGGTCAGTTTTGACCCCATCATCGTAGACTTTTCGGCCAACCGGTCCCCGTGTTCTGTCGCCCCAAGGCAAGATCCTGCCAAATTTGAAGCGCCTGCGGCGCCGTGAAGTGCCCTATCGGACACCCGACAATCTAGATCTAGATCTAGATTCCTAAAAGAATTTTTTTTTTAAGTTTAGCCCGAGCATAATTAAAAAAAATACATTAACCAAGTTGACTTGGTGTGTCTCGAACCCGCACCACCTGCGTGGTTTAATGTACACTAACATCTCCGCTATTTAGGCACCTTATAATATTCGGAGAATGAAACACGTATTTTAAAATCTTAACTTACGCGAATATGCCTATTCTTTCAAATTAATTTTTTTATCTCAAATTAGCCAGTTCCAAACAAAGATTTTGTATAAAATAAATAAGTCTTGAAATAGTTTAGTCCTAATATAGAAATTTATTTTTGGAATTGATTTTAGAGAAGTTAGAGTCTAAATCTAGATCTTAGCGTCTACGTCTAGATCTAGTCTAGTTATTGCGTAGATTTAGATTTAGAATCTAGTCTAGATCTAGAATCCAAATAAATAAAATAAATTTTATGAGTTTAGGCCGGAAAAACTGTATTGTATACATTTCATAGTGTACGTAGATCTAAATCAAATTTGAATGAAATAGTTCATTTCTTTTTATTCAAAACACAGCAGATGACGTCATTAGTTAATGTATAAGCAATAGCGACGTCACAGTTTTATGCGTTCTTTTTCACATGTATTAATGCTTTTCCGGTTGCATAAATAATACTGTTTCTCTACATTCGAATACGCCTTTAATTTTTATTTTTCTTCTTTAAGTAAAATTGTGGTTATACATTTAAAACATCTAGCATATTATTTTCAACAAAAGTCCGTAAAAAGTTCTCGATATATCGCTGCCGATTCTGACGTGATGTCCGGCGAAAATTTTTTGCGGACAGAGAAAGAGAGAGAGAGAGAGAAGAGCGCACATGGCCTTTTATAAATTAGGATATATATATATATATATATATATATATATATATATATATATATATATATATATATATATATATATATGGCCTGTATATAATCTCGTTTGAACCTGCATGTATTATTGAAATTAAAAAAATCGCTTTATTGGTTTACACGTGGGGGCGTGCGAAAATGGTCGTACGTCTATTAAACAGGAAATATGTAAGTCTAGATACGCCACCACCGCCAAGTGAAAAGAATTCACAACACAAGTATGTAGGTGTACGGCGGGTTTAGCTGGCCAGGCGTATCCTCGGATTCATAATTTCACGGTTGGGTTGGCGTGTACACTTGCGTTTGAAAGATGTTTAGTTACGCTGCAATGACAGGGCCAGTTTGTTTTCCTGTCGCGGTGGCAACAAGGTCAAGCACTCTAAACGACTGTCTTTACTTACATACACACACATAGGCCACAAACACGCATGCACACACACACACACACGCACACACTCAGTGTTTCTTCTAGACTTTTTTTCTCCGGGGGACGACGGGGTCGGGGACTTGATATTTTCGAGGGGGGGGGGGCGGACAACATTTTTCGTGGGGCGGACACTGGTAAAAGTATATGATTTCCCCCCCCCCC